TTCTTCTTCTTCTTCTTCTTCTTCTTCTTCTTCTTCTTCTTCTTCTTCTTCTTCTTCTTCTTCTTCTTCTTCTTCTTCTTCTTCTTCTTCTTCTTGTTCTTGTTCTTGTTCTCCTTTTCTTTTTGGCCCTCCCTTGACTGACTTCCTCACCCGTGCTCACTTGGCCGTCCCCGCTTTTTCCGGCCACCCTGGCACTGTAGCTATGACAAGGCCAAAATCGAGCAGCGCCTGATCGAGCACCTCTACCGGCGTGTCACCGCCTTCCAGCAGCAGGACCTCGCCTGTCGGCGCTGCGGCACGGTATGTCCCCTTGCACCACCACACCATGCCCGTGTAGGCACGCGAGAAAGCTTCCCATTCCCCTGACACGTATGACTGCCCCTCTGCCCTTCCCCTCCCCCAACCCCAGGTAAAGGACAACCTGATGCAGCGGTTCTGCAAGTGCTCCGGCACCTTTGAGCTGGCTTTCAGTGTCGAACACATCCGTGAACTGTGCGTTCCGCTCTGGACAATCGCCTTTCTCTTCGCCCCTCTCCACATGGGGGTTAGCACACACACACACACACACACACACACACACACACACACACACACATACACACACGCTTACACCTGCTAACACACACAAACACGCCCCCACACGCGATACTTTGTCTGACTGGCCTGAACCGGACGACAAAAAAAAACCCACCTCTCGCACAGGCTCCACACCTTGAACACGATCGCCAGGCAGTACCGGCTTAGCATGCTGCACGGAATGGTGCGGAGGCTGGCCAACCAGAGCAATATCACGCTTTCGTCCCCGGGCTGATGGGGCCCGCGTGATCAACCAATACATCCCACGGCTACCCATCCGTGTGTACTTCGATGTGTATCGCCCTTTTTCTTGTGTCCCTTCAATTGCCAGCGCCCCTACCTGGAGACCCCCACTGGTCTTGTTTCACTCCCTCTTCCTTGTCTCTCCTCCCCCCCCCCTCCTCCCTCCCCCCCTCTCCGCGCACACACAAACTCACGGGACGCGCAAGATTTTGGGGCACCCGTCTTGCTGTCGCACCGCACCTGTTCCCCTGTCCATTGTTTCCTCCATCTGCCTCCCTTTCCACCCGCCTCGCTCGCATCCCCTTTCTCCCGCTTTCTCCCTGCCCCCGACACCATGGCCAGCACTGCGGCTCCCGCCAACAAGGCCCCCTGTCCGGCGACCATGGCCGGCGCGGCCATCAAGGCGGCCCACGCGCCAGCCGAACAGTATCAGGAGCACTTCCACGAGACGTTCAAGCGACTGGTTCGCATTACGGCACGCATGTTCTTCCAGTCAGCACACGTCGTCATCTTGGATGCGCTGCTCACCCAGCGGTATGCGCCTGTGCTTGGACATTGCGGAAAGGCTTGACCCTTCTCTCCGGTCTTCTGTCATTGGGCCTAACGTGGGTCATCCCCCTTTATCTCCTCCCCTTCCTCTTGCCTCTCTTTCCCCCTCCCTCCCCTGCTGTCTGTTGCTTGTAGCTGCACGGCACAGGAGCTGTCAGCCATGCTGCACTTGTCGCAAAACCGTATCCAGACGGAAATGGGCGCCCTCAAGGGGCTGGTCAAGATTGAGTCCGTTCTTCCCCCGATTCGCCGGGCCCTCGCCCGCGCCACCAAGCAGCACCCCTCCGATGTGCCTGCGCTTACCTCCTTTCTTCCCCTCCTTCTCCCCCTCCTCCTCCCGTCGCGCAGGAAAGATGCCCGTGAGAATAAGAGCAAGGCCGGCCAGATGCAGAACATCGATCTCTTCAGGATCGATTGCCTGAACTTCATTGTTCTCATCCGGTGGAAGGTGGAGATGCTCAACCGGCAGCTGGATAGCGCCTCAGCCGTGCGTACTTTCTGCGCCATCCTTTCT